GTTGCGCTCAGCAGAAGACAGTGTTCTGGAGTAATATGCAACAGGAACCTGAGTTCCATCAGACCTGAGGTGGCTCAGGACGGCTCCTACCCCATAAGGGGAAGCATCACAAGCGATGCACACAGGAAGGGACTCATTGAAGTGTGCAAGTACACTGTTAGAAGTGAGTAAAGCCTTGACCTCATTGAAACTAGCCTCATGTGTTTGTGACCATTGCCACGCTGCTTGTTTGTCTAATAGCCTGTGAAGAGGCTCAGCTACACTAGCTTTATGTGGAAGAAAGGAATTGTAGAAATTCAGGAGGCCCAGAAAGGCCTGAAGTTCGGCCTTAGACTTTGGCCTAGGTGCTTCTAAAATGGCAGTTAGTTTGGATTCAGCAGGGTGAATCCCAGCAGCATCAATTTTGAACCCCAGAAATTCAGTAGAAGGCACCCCAATTTTGCATTTGTCTTTTTTGAGCTTGAGGCCTGTTTTCCTGAATCTTAACAGAACAGCCCTTAGCCTTTCAGCTAGAACGTGTGTGGAGTCTCCTGCAATTAAGACATCATCAAAGTAGGGGCAAACCCCCGGTATGCCCCGTAGTGTGTTTTCCATTACGCTTTGGAAAATCCCAGGAGCGACATTCACTCCAAACTGTAGCCTTTTTACCTTAAAGGCTCCTCTGTGGGTCACAATAGTCTGAGCTATAGCAGCAGCATCATCAACAGGCAGCTGTTGATACGCTTGAGCTAGGTCAAGCTTTGCAAAAACGCGCCCCCCCTTGAGGGAGGCCAGAATATGACTGACCACAGGAACAGGATAGGCATGTTGCTGCAATGCCTTATTAAGTGTGCATTTGTAGTCAGCACAAATGCGAATGTCCCCATTTGCCTTTAGAGGCGTGACAATGGGGGTCTCCCAAGGGCTGGAATCAACAGGTTCTAGGATTCCCTGTTGGATCAGTTTGTCTAACTCAGTGTCAATTTTACTCTTTAAAGCAAAAGGGACCCTTCTTGCTTTAATTCTAATGGGTGTGACAGTGGGGTCTAGTTTTAAGGACACAGGAGGTCCCTTGAATGTGCCCAGCTGGGGGCTGAAGACATCTGCAAATTCTTTGCAGACTTCCTGTAGGTCGAGTGTTTGTAAGCTGTTGAGCCCCGTGACGTGTATCCCCAAGGCTTCAAACCAATCGAGTCCTATGAGACTCGTTCGTTCACCCCCTACTACTAATATGTCTAGTGGACCTTCAAAATTCTTATACTGTACGTTAAGGGTGGCCTCCCCCTTAACACACACTCTCGAATTTTGAAAGTCTGTTAACACAATGTCAGAAGGCCTTAATTTAGCCTGAGTTCCACTGCCGGAACAAATCTTCCTAAATGTATGTAAGGATATGATTGAAAGGGCAGACCCCGTGTCTAGTTCCATAGTTAATGGAACCCCTTGTAGCTTCACCTTGAGTGACAGCTTTTTCTTGATGGGCTTGTGTGTGCCTGTCCTGAAGATGCTTCTTCGCGAAGCGCAAAAACCTACCCTATTCTGGCTGGGGACCCTGGTACCTTTCAGGCGCAGTTCTTCCTGAGGTTGTACCTTTCGTCGGCCCAGACACACAGCTGCAATATGTCCTTGTTTCCCGCACGCCCGGCAGATAGCGGAGCGGAACTTGCAGTCGGTTCTCCTGTGGCGACCTCCACAGCCGATGCACTTAAGGGGAACTGCAGAGCTTCCTTTCTGATTCCCTTCCTTCGTGGGGTGGAGACGGTCGACTTCCTTGTCCGGATCCTCCTCGGAGTTCCCTTGGACGTCCTCTTGGTGCACGGATGCAACATCTGGACTGTTCCTGATCGGCCGCATGTTTTTGACAGCGCCGCCTGCTGCTTCTTCTGCGGTGACCTCTCTTAAGGCATCTTGGAAGGACAATTCTTCTTTGGCGAAAAGCCTCTGTTGTAGATCTCGATGCCTTAAGCCGCATACGAATCGGTCCCTCAGTCATTCTTCGAGGTCCTTGAACTTGCAGTGCTTGGCGGCCTTCCTCAATGCAGCGATGTATTCTTTGGCCGACTCTCCGGATCGTTGATCCCTCTGCTCGAAGGTGTGGCGCCATGCGATGACGGACATCTTGGGCTGGAAGTGCTCCTTCAATAGCTTCTTTAGATCTGCGTAGCTAACAGACTCTAATGGGACAGGTGCTGCAAGGTTCTCTGCGATTTCGAAGGCGTCTTAACCGCAGACACAAAGCAGGGTGGCAGCCTTCAAGCTATCTTCCCTCACTTGGTTTACCTTGAGGTAATTTTCCACCCTGGCTACGTAGGACTCCCACCGCTCTGGATGTGAGACGTCGAATTCCGAAAGCCTTCTGACTTTTGCCATTTTCAAGAGACGGGTCTATCAGCCAGCCTACCCCCAAATGCGCACTGGATTGGCGGGTAGCTGCCGAGTCAACGCCGTTCCGCCGTTCAGGACTCACTTGGGTAAGCTTACACCTCTTCCTTTCCAGGCGATGTAAGACATCCCACCTTCGTCGCCAGTGTTGAGTCCTTGGCGAAAAGCAGACGCGAGAAGCAGTTGTAGTTCTCAGGTTTTCTTTTATTCTGTGTTCAGCTTACAGGTGAAGGCTTCAGCAACGCCCAAAAGCTCCCAGCCTCTTATATAGGCAATTCCCGGGTCAATGTGTTACTTTCCCGCGCCAGCACCCGCGCATGCGCACAGGTGCTGGCGACAGCCTGTCTGGTCCCGGGCAGCTTGCACCTGCCCGGGACTGCCTGCAAACGCCCCGAGCCCGTTTGCAAGGCTCGGGACATAACATATACCGTCCAGATATGATAAGGATTTTGCCTTCAGATACTCTTCACTAGACCAAACTCCCACCCATAGTGAGATAGAACACAGATCAATTAATATATTAAGATCAGGATTGGTAGCAAGTAATACCTTACAATCAGTTATGATATCTCAAACCAGCCAGTTTGTCAAAAAAAGAAAACCTGTAAGGGCCTTACTTTAGCTCTGGCAATGAAAGTACAATAAAGCCAATTAAATGCAATGTCCAGAGTGTAGTCATAATGCGGTTCTTTAAATGGATTGTGTTGAGAAATAAAAGATTGCTTTATTTAGAGGGACACGATCTCCAACTAGGTTGGCATGCTTTTATATGGTATGAGAAAGCTAAAGCGCATAAATACTTTCAAAATCATGCCATAAGAAACGTACTACTTTCAGAATGGGAGAAAATTAGACATAAAATATACATGAAAATAGCTGAGTGACTTTCAACAATGGAAGCATTCGCTTACCCAAACCTGATTAACTATGGTAAACTAGTTAGTTATAAAGATATTTTGGATAAAGATGGAAAACGTAAGGACAGGCAAACTCTTCAACAACAAGGTATTGATTTAACATGGTGGTCCTATTTGCAAATTCAAACAAGATACGAAAAAGATATAAAATTAACAGGATTTTATAAAGAACAGACTCCATTAGATATAATTTTGTTAAAAACAGATGAGAATTTGATTTAGAAACTCTATAAATTTCTTCTAAATTGGAAGATGGAAGAAAAACAAGTGAAAGAGACAATGATAGTATGGGCAAAGAATTTTGGATATTCTATAGATTTAGAAGACTGACAAAAACATTGGGATAAAAATATTAAGCTTACAAAAGCAGCAGCATATAAAGAAAATTTATACAACATGTTTTATACATGGCATATGACACCAATTCGCTTAGCGAAAATGTTTAAAAATGTATTGAATACTTGTTGGAAATGTAAACAACAGCCAGGTACTTATTATCATGTCTGGTGGGTATGCCCTAATACTAAGAAGTATTGGCTTAAGATTCATAGATGGTTGGAAAAGATGATGAAAATACAGATAGAATATAAACCAGAAATATTTTTGCTAGGAATATTAAGACCTAATTATGGTAAAGAGAATGACTATTTGATATTACATGTTTTAACAGCGGCAAGGATAGTATTTGCCCAATTTTGGAAAAATGAAAATCTACCATCTGACCAGGCTATAATTACTAAAATTTTAGATTGTGCAGAAATGGATAAATTAACATTGGAGATGAAAGATGATTCAGTTTATTTTAAAACTTGGGAAAATTTTTATCAATGGCTAGAGACACGTTAGAATCTGAAAAGAATTTAATATTTCAGAATAGATGATGGATTTTTAATTGAGTTATAGTATATAGGTTGATAACATCTTTATTCTTAGTGATTTAGTGATTCTTAACCATTAACATTGATAATTATGACTAGTTGAGATTTTATTACTCATGTTTATTTACATAGATGAATTTATCTGTTCAATTGTTAGTAATATGGTTATAGTTAATCTTTTTTTAAAATGGCTGAGTATGATATTTATTATTATGATCCAGACGGTAGCTTGTTTGTTAAAGTACGTGATTATTGCACCTATCCCCATTCCATCCTAAATCCCCCACCCCTTTCCCCTCCCATACCTGTATTGTTCCTATTTTTTCCTTATTTATATAAACTTAATAAAATATTTATAAAAAAAATAATGTGGTTCTTTAAATGGAACTGAGATTTCAGACATTTCCCACTCAGTCTCCTCAGGCCACTTTTTAAAAAAGGTTTTATTTGTTAGAGGTCTGTACTTTAAAGGTCTAATCCAGAGTTCCCCAACCTTTCTGGCTTTGCGGACCGGCGGGTAAAGAGAGGATGGTTCCATATAAGTGGCCGGCAAGCGCGCTCACGGAACTCCATTTGCGCGAGTATCATGCATGTGCAGCACTGTCACTGTCACAAATGGAGCGCAGGTGCACATGCTCACCTGCTGCTTGCGCAAGTGGGATGTGCATCCGCGTGCACACTCGCCCACTGTTTCCATGGCCCAGTTGCAAAAACTTCATGGCCTACTAGTGGACTGCAGCCCAGAAGTTGGGGACCCCTGGTCTAATCTATTAAGAACGGAAAGGAAGGAAAGGAAAAAAAAGCTATGTTATTGTTAGATTTGTATCCCACTTTTTTTATACAGAGTTGAAACTGCCCTTCTGAGTATTCCTTCATCCCATCTTCTCCCACAGCAACAATCCTGTGAGGTAAGTCAAGCAGAGAGAACAAGCGATTGATTGGCCGTCAGTCACCCAGGGACCTTCTGTGGTTGAAGGTGGACTACAGGTAAGTCCTCTATTTACAATCATTCATTGAGCAACTATTTGAACTTACAACAGCACTGAAAAAAGTATTTATAACTAGTCCTCACACTTATGATTGTTGCAGCAATTCCACTCTCACCTGATCAAAACCTGAGTGCCTGCAGTCAGCATGTACAGGTAGTCCTCGGCTTACGAGCACAATTGAGCTCAACATTTATCTTGCCAAGTGGGAAATTTGTTAAATGAATTTCGCCCTATTTTACCACTTCTCTTGTCACATTCGTTAGCTGAATCGTCGCAGTTGATAAATTAGTAACACGGCTGTTAAGTGAATCTGGCTTCCCCGTTGACTTTACTTGTCAGAAGGTCGCAAAAGGGGGATCACATAATCCCAGGATACTGCAATGGTCGTAAATATGAATCAGTTGCCGAGCATCTGAATTTTGATCCCATGACTATGGGGATCCCAGAATGGTCATAAATGTGAAAAATGGTCATAAGTCACTTTTTTCAGTGCCGGTCACTAGGTGAACTGTTGTAAATCAAGGACTATGTGTATATAAGACAGTTGCAAGGTTAGTCACATGATCTCCATTTGTGACTTTCCACCGCTTCCAACAAGCATTGTCAGTGGGGGAAGCTGATTAACAACCCCACGATCCGCTTAACAGCTGCAGTGACTGGTGTAATAACTATGACAAAAAAAGGTGATCAAACTGGGCACAACTCCCCTTAACAACTGCCTTGCTTAGCGACAGATCCCAGTTGTCGTTGTTAAGAATTACCTGACTAAGCTAACTCTCTGTGCTTCTGCTGCAATACCATGACCCACTGGCCCTCGGATATTTTCTGATATAGAGAATCTCAGCCATTCCAGGGGTTTGGATTAAATTTCTTTCTTTCTTTCATTTCTGTTTCATTCCTTCATGTACAGAAGAACGCAATGCTTCCCAAACCCATGTAAATTAATCCAAATTAGGTAAAAATGGGTTTTTCCTTGGGTAGCAACACATGAACCCAAACGCAACAGGGACATTTAAACTGACAAAACTGTTTTACCTACATAGGGTAAAAAAGGACTGTCTGATAACTTGTTTTGGGTAATGGGGGGGGGGGGAAGCATTGGGAAAAAGAATGCTTTTTTCTTCTTCCTTTTTTTTCAGAAAGAGGGAAATAAATCAAAGGTTCCCACTATTGTTGTCGAAACTCACTGCTTTGCATCTCGATCACCTTATTCCCTTTGTTATGAAGTACCCACTACTTAAATCCAATTTCCTGGTGGATTGCTTGTATGGCAGATTCCTGAACAAGGACAAACCTCTGCTTTTATGAATGTCATCAGTTTTTAGCGTTAGCAATTAAGCAATTCCTTGTTAAATTACATAAGCCCTGATGGCGATTTTTTTACCACAAAGAAATGGCTGAGATTGTCAAACCAACTAAACACTAGCATGTGGTTGTAAACAAGCTTGGATTATAGCTCAGTATTAATTTTTGGATGCCATCTGTTATCTATAAATAAGCAGTGAAAGAATGTGCCAATACAGTACTGTTATAAACTAGGGAATTCTCCATCATTCAAAGAGAGCCAGATGCCAGAAAAAAAGGAATTGAAAAAGAAATTTTTTTTCCACAGCCATTCCGGGTGTTTGGATTAAGCTCGGAGAAATCCTGATTCAAACCCTAACTCAGCCATGAAGCTCACTGTATGCTCATGGCCAGTTGCTCATCTGTAGCCTAATCGACCTCATAAGGAGGGGTGGCAGTTGAGCCAAGGGACAGGACATTGTGCATCGCTTGATACATAGAAAACATTCAGAGGAATAGTCCTGGTAAACTCTTTAAGTTTAGGGCAGTCTGTGCAGTTGAAATATTCCTTCACTGATTGATAGGTACAGTATTGCCATTCCTGATAGCTTATTCGTGTCCATTTATTTGTCTGTGAAAAAAGACTATCCACTTTGCTGACGCATTGTATACAGGTAGTCCTTGACTCACAACCACAAATGAGCCCAACATTTCTGTTGCTAAGCGAGACCGTTGTTAAGTGAGATTTTGCCCCATTTTATGACTTTCCTGGCCACAGTCATTAAAGTGAATCACTGCAGTTAAGTTAATAACATGGCTGTTAAGTGAATCTGGCTTTCCCACTAACTTTGCTTGTCCAAAGGTTGCAAAAATGATCACATGGCCCAGGGACATTGCAACCGTCATAAATATGAGCCAGTTGTCAGGCATCCAAATTTTGATCACGTGACCATTGAGATGCCGCCATGGTTGTAAGGATGAAAAACAGTCATAAGTCACTTTTTTCACCACTGTAATTTTGAACGGTCACTAAATGAAAGGTTGTAAGTCGAGGATAGAAAGCTCTCTCCTCTGATTTTCTCTGGCCCCTCCTGCTGCCTGTTCCCATTCAGGTAGACTGCTCTGATGTCCTTGTCTCTTCAAAGTCCTCTGAACTAACCTCTTAATTTTCAGCCCTAACCATAACCAAGACTTAAAAGACATGACCACAGCCACTACTTACCAGGAGTCATTTCAACCTAGATGTATTCTGAACCTCTCTATAGAGTTTTATCTATGGTGATGTACATGAATAAACTTATCCTTTCAATGCAGCTTGACTAGACTTTATTCAACCAGGATGAATTTTGAAAAAAATTAACAGGGCTTGGTTACCTTGAGGTTATTGCCATTGCACCTTTAGATCCATCTTTAATTGTTGACATAGACATTTTAGACTGCGGTCTCAGCACTTTTTCCCAAAAGCTTGGCCTAAATAAATGAACAACCCCCTTTTGCCTTTGGGGGAAAAAAGGCATCCATACATATTTGCACACTGATTTGATAATTAAAAAAGTAAACCTGCACTTATCAGCCTGATATACTGGCTGAAGTTCTGAGATGGGATGATATGTCCTTGGGCACGTGTCTAATGCAATATGTTTAACTTAGGAAATTAATGTTAAACTACAGATTTTAAATTAAAGGATTATCATAATAATTGCTTAAAACATTTATAAATGTCTCTTTATAGTTTTGTTTTGTTTTTCTTTCAGATTCAGATTAGGAGTTGGTAGTAAGTAATCTGGCCAACAGACTCCTGCAGTAATCTGGATGTGAGACAACTGAAGTATGTTTTGCTACTTCTGCTGTGTGAGGAATCAACCAATCCTATGAGTATTCATTGAAGGAAAGTTATGAGGTGGGTGATTTTATTGATGAAGGGCTTTCAAGAAAAATCCTAACTGAAGTTTTTGGTTCCTCACCACTGAGGGGTCCCATAACTGGTGGACTCCTGTCAAAACAAGGAAAGGTTGGATGACAAGTATAGAGCATAGCATCTTCCTTGCTCACTCTCATTGTTCATTTTGAGATGGCCAGTTCAGGATCTACCAAGGTGCTTAGAAAGGAATGCCCACACTGTATTATCGAGAAAAGTGACAGAAGAGTACTCATATACTGTGAACATATACCATATGTAACAATTGCATTCTAAGAAGAAATTAAAGAACCCGAAGGAAGGGTTCCACCCTGCAAAGGAAGGATGAACAAAGGTCACTGAGGAATACTGGCTGAAGAAAGAAGCTTGGGAAACATAACCATTGCACATCATAAAAAGTGAGATTAGGACTAAACCCACTGAAATATGATACTGGTGACATTAATGGAACTTAGATGGGACAATAATTTTGCAAAGCTGGCCAATAGATCTAGTAACACCAGCTCCACAGGTAAATGCTTCATCTAGGCCATCAGCAGAATTTTGATAACACAAGCCAAATGGACCCTATAGCAGGGCTTTTCAACCTTTTCATAGATTGTACACAAACTCCATGTTTTTTTTCTCTTTTTAAGCTGCCTCAGGCTGTCACGTGTCACAATGTTGTAATTCTAGACTAAAAGGCTCCAGCAATTGCGAAAAGCTTTAGCTTTAAATTAAGCTTGTTTACCTTCAATGAAAACTTTCTAAAAGCCACAGATTCAATTAAAGGGGGTAAAACTAATTACATTTGTTTAAAGGGATTAAACCTTTCCTGTTGTCTTTTTTCCCCTTCCCCCACCCAAACCACGTTCTTTTATAACCTCTCCTCTCCTCCCCCCCTTTTTTTCTTCAGTTCACCTCCAGCTCCCAGCTGCTTCTGGAAGCGCCAATCAGCTGGAGCCAATCAGCTGGAGCCCTGTCAGCTCCTGGGGCTTCTGCAGAGCCCAGACAGTCCTGCAGCTGTAGCTGCCTCTCCCTCAGGCTTGGCTCGCTTTGGCTCATTCCCCTCCCCTGCTACACTTGGCTAGCAAAGTACCACAGGTGGTACGGGTACCACCAGTTGAAAAGCCCTGCTCTATAGAATGTCAGAAACAAAATAAAAATAAAGTTGATATAGCCTGATAAATAAATACAAAAGAAAAATTAGACTAACTGTGTATTAGTTGCAGTACGACCATAAACCAGTTTAAATGCTGAAAATAAAATTACTGAAGTGAAAATACAAACAAATAACCATCCAAATGAAATATACTAATTAAAAAATATATCCAGGGAGCTAAATTTCTTGTAATACTTGATGAAGGACAATTAACTTCTTGCCTGAGCTTTTGGTAACAGGTTCTGTTCTCTTATCTGAGGATGGTAGTAGAATTGAATGGTGATTTTTCCCCCCAAATATCTGAAAGGAACCTTGAGCTGGGAAAGCCAAACACATTTTGAATGCTTCCTTAGTTGTCTCAACTCTTCTGTTTATCTTTTGTTAATGGTAGTTACTCCTGAATAGCTATATGGATAAGCAACAATACTGAAGGATTGTGGGGGTTTTTCCAGCAAAGGATGAAGAAAACTGTGTTTCTGGAAAAAGAAGAGTTTACAAAAGGAAAATGACCAGAGGGACCAGTGGTATAGGGAGGCAGGTTTTCTGAAATTATTTTGGCACTCATCTCTTCTATTATGGAAGGGGAAAAAAAAAAGAAATTCCGGTGTGTCAAATTATTGGCTGCCCCATCGCTTACAAAAAGTAAGACTTTCCCAGAGTTTCTTTAGCAGGATTGATTGAAAAAGTTTATGATAAGGTTACAGAAATCGCAGAAACTGAATTTTTCCCCCCATTAGAATTCACAGTATCTATTTCTGCAAAGGGGTCCTTCTCGGTCTGTGACTCATTGTTTCTGCAGGAACTGGTGAGAAGGCTGTTCTCCCAATTGATAAAGGTGGAATGTCTCCTGCTGGTGTTAAATATATTATAACACAATGCAGTATCATTTAAATTACTCAAATCTGCCAGGCACGGTCCATGTGTTAAACTTGTAACTTAGATTTTTTTTTTCAGTTCTGAATATAAAATAAATTACCAAATTCATTAGGGGTGAGGCAAAACATTCCTTAGCCGCAGATGATGGAACGAAAAGTGGCTGAAAAGTGCCCCAAATCTGCCTGGAAGATTTGGCTTTATAGATGTTTTGTTGATCACGTTTTGTCTGTTCCAGGTAGATTAAGTAATTAGAAAGGGTTTGTTGGAACAATTCTCTCTGGGAGTCTATGGCCCAGAAGGTGAGCTCTGGAAGGCCTCAGGAACTTATTGCCTCCATGGCAACCATAAGAGCTCACCTTCATGTTTACACTGTAATGATAAGAGTGAATTGTCTACCTTGATTGTCTCTGCAGATTCTGACAGGTCCTTTTCAGAGAAAGGTGGGTGGGGTAACCCCCTGCAACCCAAGTGATTAATTTATGATTTCATCTTGCTCATCTAGGTCGGACTTTAGATAGGCAGAATTATTATTATGGTTTGTCACACAGCCAAATGTTTAGACTGGATTTGGCATTTTTATCCATCTATTGAATCCTTTCAAAGGACCTGTGATAGGCAGATGTTGTTTGATGGTGTTAAAAGTATTGTCTTAGGATGTAAGCTGTTCTGCAATTGACCAATGGTAATTTTGTAAATGATGGTATTCAAATGGTGCTCCAATTGTTTTGGGATTGCATCTATTCCAATTATTATATTTTTATCCTGCCTCTACTAATTTATAAATAACTCAAGACTGGGAACACACCTACCATAATACTCCTTCCCCTTCCTATTTTCTGAACAAGAGCAACAACCTTGTGAGATGGGTTGGGTTGAAAGGGATTGACCCAAAATCACCCAGCTGACATTCATGGCATTCAGAGTCTGGCACTCACAATCTCTTGGTTTTTAGACCAGCACTTTAACTACTATACCCAACTGATTCTTACAGTGAGGCAGGATCATGTGTTATAATAATCTGGGATTCTTTCAAACTTTTGGACCCTGAGATTTTCTGATTCTCATTTCTGACATACACTAATGAACCCAGAGTCATACAGAATCACATAGACAATTGTTTGTTTCATCATATTTATTAACATCATCTGAATAAACCTGGCTTTGCCAGCATAAAAGGCACTGTGAGGACAGAAGAAAGACTGGGATGCGTAGTCCTGCCTGTCCAAAACCACCAAGAAAATCTTTGTTGCATAGTTTGCATGATTTTGACATCAAAGCTAATAGATGGAAATAGCTATGTGCTGCAGTGAGAATTTTACATTTGACAAACACTCAATCTCAATGGCACACTCTTTGGCTTTTGCTGTTCTCTTCCCCTCCCCATAAGCAATAAAACAGTTTTACTTGCTTGCTAGAAGAGTAAATAGTACATACCAGGCTCATAAAATGGCCCATAATAGATCTGATAATGCAATTTTACAAAATACGGACACACAGTAAATAAAACTAATCACTTGTACAATACAGTAGAGGGTACTTCATCACCTCCCTCCAATATCCAGTCTGCTCTTATATACATACTGGCAGTTTTCACACATCATTTTAAACTCCCATTCGAAACCATGTTTTGTTGATTAAGATAGCTGGATGAATTCATTCCAAGCCAAGAACTAAGTTTTACAACTCACAATACTGCACAACATCACAAATCAACACGATCCCATTCTGACTTAGTGCAATCTGAATTATACATCTGTTCTAGAGGGCACGGGACAAGTGGTTTGATGCAGACTAAAATCTCCCTGTAAATGCCTTGGACCTTACTGGTGGGCTTGATGGATCCATGGCTGGGAAATATAACAACAGGGTCGTTAGCAGTGAAAGGTCACTGGTAGCAAATATCACAAGTTCTTGTGGGTGTGATGGAGATGGCAGAGAGCATCAGAGAACTATTAAGAGTCTCTCTTTTGATCTGCAGGAAGCAGCAGCTAGGGGATTGTGACTTTCTCATTTCTACACAAAAAAGGCGGAACTAAAAGGTTGCATCTGCTCATTCAGCTGAATAAGCAGTATTACTTCAAACTACGGGCAGGCATGGGTGGTGGAGATAGGAACTGGGCTTTTGAGCAATCACAGCAGTCCAACATCTCCTCAAGGGGCACGTGTGGGAGAAAAGGTTCTTCAAGCCTTTTCCTTGTTGTGTTGTTCTTTGTTTTAATTACGAGGGAGAAGTGAGGGAGTATTTTTTAATAATACCGCAGCTTGCAAAAATCTAAATCTATCCAGTTTTTTGTCCCCACAAACCGACTCATTACTCTCCACAGGCAGATTCAACCAAATGTGGATACGTGGGAGGATGTTATGAGTGGGATCAAAGTGACTCAAAAGTATGGAAAACAAAGGTATTGTCTAGTGTTGGATGGGCCAAGGCAGTCTATAAGATTGATATCAGGTCTAATGGAGTTGCAACTAAAAGGAACTGTTGGGTGGATCTTGGAGCTAACACTAATAATAGTTTGTTGGTCTGTTATTTCATAGGGAGAGATAAAAGTTGATATCAGTACTTTAAACCATGATAGTAAGAGATTCTCAACCACCCTCATGATTTTATTTGGGGGGGGGAGGCAGGCCAACAATAGCATAACAATAGTAAGAATAATAATCTAATTTAGGTCTCATAAAAGGGGACCCAACTATTCTTTTCCTATCTAGTGTAGTCCCTCTACAAATCCTATCGGTTAAAGTGGCAGGATAAAATAATATGCACACAATAGCTGAAATAGGAGCTACCAATGCTCTATCCTCAATCAAGACAGGCTAAGATCTTATTCCAATGTGAGTAAATTGGCAAAGCTCTATAGTTTGCAAATAAATATTCCTTTATGTATCCTGCTTTAGGCAAGGGACTAAATGAATCGGGAACCCACGTAGCCTCTCATGGTATACAGGAAATGAGAACATCGGACAAGTCTAAATCAAATGGGTACTTACAACATAAATATTTCTAGAAAATTCTGGTGTAATCTCTCTAGGAAATTCCAATTTGACTGACCCAATTCCATTGGCAAGTGATACTAAAATCCTGGAAATTCAACTCCCTCAATAAATGGTCATTCCCTCCCAAAAGTGAAGGCCTCCTCCATATAGAGAAACCTTTGTAGAGAAACCATTGGAAATGGCTTGACAGTTTAAGCTGCAAAATTTTAATAAATTAAATTAAATCCTGAACAGCGGTTTTCTTCCCATTTCAGGAAGACCTTCCCATGTCTGTGTTTACTGAGCATCCTTTGAATGCAGCGGTGAGATCCCAGAGATTACAAAGATGTGCTGTCGGCAATACAGTTTGAATCATCAATAAAGGCACCAGATGTTGAACTCTGGCACCAGCTGAGCATACTCAGAACAAGAGACACAAATTTAGCTTCAGAAGATTGGTCTCATGGATCCGGGACTTCCTTAGGCAACTTGCTCTATATTACAAAGAGGTTCTTAGTGAGACGAAGGGTAAGTGCCTGAAAAATATGTGCATTTCATAGAACATAAACCACCTAATAGAATGTGAATTTCTTAACTTGCTACTTTGCTCCAGGGCTGTTTCAAGAAGGAGCAAACATCCCTCAGTTTGGGTACCAGAAATCTGCCAGTGGAGCCAAACGTTGCAGCCTAGCTGTGGAGGCCAGAAAGGAAGAGGTTGGCAAGAGCTTCTTTCACAATTTTCACTCATGCTATGTGTGCGGCATTTCTGCGAAGAAAGGCTGTGATTGGTTTGGCTGAAGTTTCTGTGTTGGTGAGGTGGCAGTAGCTGAGACGTTACTCCCCAAAGTCCATGAGTACAGAGGCTCAAGACTGGCAGTGGAGCAGTGCAATTCCCACTTGTGAAGAACTCCTTGTACTATCTAGGGGTATTGAGGCACCATGTGTGTGAGAATTGAAAGGGCTGGCTTCAGAGATATTGGCAGTGTGGGGCAACCCCTTTCTTCCTCCAGCCCTAAACTGAGGCAGAAGAATAAATTAATGGGTGCCAGAAATAACTAATGCCCCTCCTGCAGGGTATCCTCAACTGCTTCTTGGGTGGCTGGGACAAAAACTGCCCATCTTGTGCAGCTCCTCAGGTGGAAGTCTCACAATTAGGGTCCTTCTTATCAAGCCAGCAAGAAAGGGAGATTGGAAGGCACCCAAATCACCCACCTACCCCACTGTAGAGGGTGCATCTTCACCCAATATTTGACAGAGTTCGCCGAGACGTTGCTGCATTTCAGGGACCCCTGCCAGCTTCTGTTCCAGGCTCTGCTTTTCCTCACGCAGGGAGAGACGGGCTTCAGGGTCCAGCTTCTCAAACCGCCAGCCGCCCTCCCCATCGAACTGGAGGAGATGCGTATGGTACTTCCTGAAAATAAGGATGGAGGCTATTGAGAGACCGTTCCAGGATACAACTTCTGCATTCAGCCTGCCATCTTTCTCCTTGCTCAAGGTCAACCTCACCCACACTGGCTCTGTTACTGTTCCTCATTCCTCTAGACAAATGTTCTATGTGTAGGAGGGGTTTGGGGGAGGGTTTTTCCACTAAGCTGTCTCCTGGGAGGGGAGTCAGAAACAAAACCATTCTCAGTCTCCAGGGATGAGACCATGGTGCTCCTGCCCACACAATTTCCTGTTGAGGACATGACTCCCTGCTTGGGAGAGCAGCCAGCAACATGACACACACACACACACACACACACACAGAGAGAGAGAGAGAGAGAGAGAGAGAGAGAGAGAGAGAGAGAGAGAGAGAGAGAGAGAGAGAGAGAGAGAGAGAGAGAGAGAGAGAAATGGAGGAGGGAAAGGAAGTATAACTGGGGGCTGGTGGGGGAGAGGAAGGATGAGGCTTGGAAAGTGGCTTGAGGCTTGCCAGATTCAATACACAGGTCCCCTGTCCCTTTTTATAGTGTGTACTGAAAGAAGGAGTACAGCAAGTGCCTCTTTTCCTGGCACAAAGCTTCTTAAAGGCCCAGGATTCCTAGGGAAGAAGATCCTAAGAAAAAGTTCCTTTCCTGTCCCTGCTTTAGAAAAAAAAAAAAAAAGAACCAGATAGGCAATCTGATCCATAATGGCTGCTCTTGGGCACCGAAGTAGTGGCAAATTCTGCCTTCAGGCTCCTAGGCACACTTTCCCAACCTGCCCATCTGAGAGACTTGTGGATATAAATAGGTGAAAACTTGGCAAAAAGAGATTTCTATAGTAGTGCAAGGAAAGAATTTGCAGTCAGGGGAAGTATTGAATTGGCACATGCTTCCTGGAAGAATCGTATACCTGCCCCGGGCACTATCATGGAGGCATATCCCAGAGATGAGTGAAGGCAAAAATAATATTCTTTCGGAATTCCTTCCTTTTGTTAATCAAATCAATGACACAAACAACAATAGATGAGGAGTATTCTCAGGCAGGTATATGCGGCCGGATTTCAGGGAAAGGATCCAGTAAGAAGGATCCTAAGAAGGATCCAACTTGTTTATTTTCCCAACAACTCTTCACAAAGACAAAGGATGCAGAAGATTCCAGAGGTGAACGTTGAGCAATTGATAAAGAAATGAGACTGGTCTGCACATTGTGCTAAAGTATATGACATTGCTTGGTTGTGTCTCAGCAAGCTCTGTGAATCTGGTCACTGTGGTTTGTAAACCTTGATTTCCAGCTAAAAAGGCTGTCACTTCATTACAATACAATTCCTAGCATTTGTAGACAAAGGAAGAAAGAACTTATAAAAGAAGAAAGGATGCTTTGGATGCTGCAAAGAACTTATAGTTTACTGATGTTAGAATGTCACCAGTTCTTATTTCTGATATACTGAGTGGCTTAGCATGAAATATGAATTCATCCAATTATGGATAATTTGAAAAACTGTGCTGTAATACAAACAGTGTTCTAAGAGAATGTGTGACTTGTTTATTCATGTTTTACTAAAGACCGTAAGTGATTGTTGGATTAGAACAACAATAAATCATAATTTGAAAGTTATGGCTTAATCCAAAAGCAAACAAATATATAGGATTGTGTTTAGCAACCACAATCCAGACTGCAACTCAACTGCGCTTATGATCTTACTTCAGCTTTCGTTTGTTTTGCAGGAATGTCATAAATGTGAGGATCGGTTATAAAGTTATTTTTCATCACTATCCTAACTGCGGTTGCTAAATGAGGCAATCGCTAAATAAGGACTACTTATAATTTCATTGAAACATAATGCTATTTCTCATGGATTAAATAGATATGAAGATTTTTATTATAACACAGCTTGATTCACAGATCATACTTAACCTGAAATCATCTTACAAACATGAATGGGTTCATGTAGCAGAAACATGTGAGTCACCTAATGGCTTTGCATGTTATTCGAATCCAATTAATTAAGTTTCAGTTAATTTGACAGTAAGAATGATTGTGTCAAAACCAAAAGTTTCATGAATAGCCACTATAGGTACCGTAAATTCTGGCGTATAAGGCGACTTCCGCGAGCGCTGAAATCGGCGCCAAAGATGGGGGTCGTCTTATACGCCGAGTCGTCTTATACGCCGGAAATACTGGTAGTTTCCGGCGTATAAGACGACATTCTAGGAATGCGGCCTGGCTATAAAGACGGGGGTCGTCTTATACGCCGGGTCGCCTTGTACGCCGGCATTTACGGTACTGTAGTTGTCAGTGTCTGCACCTCCTACATTTCTTTTGACCTCTTAATATTTTTCTTTTCTAAATTTTGATTGTACTTCTAACTGCTTTTACAATTCTTTCTGTATTACCCCAGTGAAATGGAATGTAATTCACAGAAACTTGATGCTACAGTAAATGCAAAATAACAGAATCTTGTGATACCTTAGAGATTAATATCACAAGAGACCTTGTTGTTTTGGAGGACCTACTCAGGAACCCCTGGGAATCTGCTACAAGTGTGATATATCTATTCAAACAAAAACAACAACAAAAGCCTTTAAGCAAGGAAGGGAAGGTATAAAGGCTAATATATCCCAGGCAAAGAACAAGACATACCACAAGGAAGGTCGGTGTGTGATGGAGAGCAACGCAATTCCTGCATCCTTTGCTGCTTGGAAGATCTTGCCTTCTACATCGATACTGACAGCACTGGTACATTCATCAAGGAGAGCGTACTTTGGCCTGGGGCAAGGAAGGGAGAATCCAGGTCAGCAATCCCAAATGCCTGTTTCATTAGTCCAGTATCCTATCTGTCACTCCCATGCAGAATCAGGACCACCCGTCTTCCTACTGGACTTAATTATCCAGTAACCACCTCATGGGAAAGGAAGGAAGCAGAGACCTGGAAACATAAAGGGCACCTGCCCTATGGAACAATCTTGTTCTTTGGCAGGCTTGGCTGCTTTCCAAACACTACTTAAATTGAAATTATGTCAAAGACAGTTCAGGAAATAAGGGAAATGGCCATTCCTGGCTTCAATTAAGCTATTATAATTATTTTAGATAGTTTAGTTTGTATGTCTATATTGTTAATCCTTTGTGATTACAATGGTGTATGATCAAATCAACTGGTACATTTGGAATTGATCCTCACCACTTCTTCCCAACCCACACTCCTTGGAAGCTGTTTGTGTGATTTAATCCAGCATCAACAGGGAGTGGTGTGAAGTACAATTGGAAATGCACTTCTAGGCACTAACCTGTGATAGAACATCCGCGCCATCCCCATTCGCTGCTTCTCGCCACCCGAAAGTACATCCTTCCAGTCACTGACAGCTTCCCAACCTGATTGGAAAATAATTAAAGAAGAAGCTCTACTGTTATCTCCACCTACCCGGTTTCCTGTTTGCTGCATGTAAACCAAAGTCAAGACAAGGCACAGGAAGTCAAGGTGTTTGATTGCCATTTTCTCCATCCATGCCAGGGAGCTACCCACCTCCTTCACGCTGTACAATATAATTGAGGTTGACGATGTTCAGGATCCGTTCCAGGTCAGAATCAGTATGTCCTTTCAGTCCCATATCCTTGGCCGTATCTGGGTAAATCACCTGGTCTCTCAGGGTGCCCACAGACATGTACGGTCTACAGTGAAATGCCAAGTAAATAAATCATTGGCATTTGAACAGCAGCTGAAACTGTCCACAATTAGGGTTTTGATAGCCTAGCCAGCATGCACAATAGCCATCCTGGGATGATGAAATCTGGTATTTAATCAAACTGGAAAGCCCCAGAATGCTGCAATGGTAGTTTGCATGAAGTTATCTAGTAATCTCATGACAGGGCAGAGATTCAAACTAGGGCATTCTTCAGTGCACCAATTTCCTTTCTCTGATGTGAAAAAGAGATCAGAACCTTGGGGCAACTAGAGTACCGATCTGTGGAATCCAGAGTTTTCCTATTCTTATTCCATTCCTCACTCAATCCAATGCATTCCAAGAGGCCCAGCCTCTCTATTGTTTGGCCCCCAATTCCCCACCCTCCCTTGCCATACTGGCCACTGTACCTCTGTGGAATGTAAAACATTCGATGAGGAGGTGGTTTGTAGAGGGTGCCACTGTAAGTTGGCCAAAGCCCCCCCAAGATCCGGAAAAGGGAACTCTTCCCACAGCCATTTGGTCCAGTGATCAGTAGGTGCATGCCTTCATCTACCTGCAAGGGGGAGGCACAGAGAAAAATATGAAAAAGGCAGAATAAAAATATAATAATAACAATAATATCCCCAAACATCTGAAGCAACACTTGAATATCACTAGCGCTGATTAAATCATCAGTCAACTGCAAAAGGCAACTTTACTTGGAACAGCATATATCCTGCAATGATACCTCTAACACCATCAAACAACAACACCTGCCTATCCCAGGACCTTGGAAAGCTCTTGATAGGTGGATAAAAATGCCAAATCCAGTCTGAACATTTGGCTGACTGTGTGACTGTCAACAACAACAATAGCAATAATTGTCTCTTCCCATTTTTTCCAATTCTTGGCAGTTTTCATTGTTTCTCAAGATCCAAGCTCCTCCCTCCCCCAATATCCAACGATGTATGCAATAGAATTTGCATTTGTCCAGGCAACTTACTTTATCCATTTGATGCTCTAATAGCAATCTCTGAGCCCCATCAGCTCACTACCTCTCTTCTTAATCTGGTCTCAGGCTCCCGTTGTATTCCCAGCCTTCTTGCAAAATCATAAAGACCAGAAGTTACCTATCAGTTCCATCAAAACCCCCATGACCCCTCAACGCAGGCAAGACCCTGGAACACAGGCGAGACTCCCTAGCCCTTCCCCTTGTAGTACTCCATGGCTGCTGCTGCTGCTTGATCTCCTGTTCTCCAAATTCTAGACAACAGAATGCCTGCAGTTGCCTCCTGTCACCCTGTCTCCTTTCCATGCCAGGAATATACTTTGTCCAGGAATATACAGAGAGGCAATGGCCAACAAAACATAAACAGAGTCAACATGTTTGCCAACAGGGCTATTGTATCAACTAGCCATGAAAATAAACTGTTTTGATCTGCACCTGTGCCTTTGGATCACAATCTGACTTACAGAATTCCGAGGGGAAGCTTCTCAGCGTTGCCACCTACTAATTCATGAATAGGAGGAGCCTATTAAAATAATATCTGCATAGGGCCAAGTTCAAAAGTTGGCAGCTTTACTCAATGAAAGTAATCTTAAATTGCTTCCCACACTGATGCAGTCAGATTAGAAGATGTAACCTCTCATTTTCATCAGTGCTTCAGTGCTGTTATCCCAGTCCCAGTCTTCCTATTATTCACTCAGACTATCTATCCCTGGACTTCAGAAGAGGTCACATTACAATTTCCAGCTTCTCTTTCCATTAGTCGTGCTGGTTCAGGCTCTTGGGGTTGTAGTTCATCAGGATCTACAACGCCAGTTTGCCCTATATTAATGCCTTGACCACTTACTCGGATATTAAGGCTGGTGACTACCACATCCCCAGTAGGAGTGATGATAGGGATGTTTTCACAGATAATCCCATGGTCGACATCAATCACATGTCCTGTAAGCAAAGAAGGAAAGAAAAGACAAGAGTCTTATATTCACAATGAAAGAAGCATTTCATTGCAAGAGATGCTGACCCTCTCAGTAGAAATAAACAAATTTAACCCTTTACCAATTATTTATTTTGCTCCATGACTCATGTCATGTAGGTGGAACCTGAGACAACAGACACTTTCTGATATTTCACAGCATGGTGTGGGCATGTCCACGGCTGCTGTTGAGGCTTTACAGTTTATTAAGTGGGTACCATAGAGAGAATAGCCAGTCATCAGATGGTGATCTGGTAAAGTTGCTTCCCAATCTATTTCTTATCTCTCTCTGCAGGATGTTCCTTACAACCTCTGCTAAATTTTGTCTATTTTTCCTTGTGGCTATCTTGACAATTTTTATTTTCTACAAATGCTTTGTAAAATTAGTGTAGAAATGAGAACTATCCTTATAAATAAAAATGGCAATCAAATCTGATGTTTTGCTGCATACTGTTTCCTATTTATTTATTTTTTTAAAAAAAGTATTTAAAAAATTAGAGTGTGATAACAGGCCTCAATACCTGGCACATTTCCCATAAGATATAGCTTAGCATATCTGAATTGAGCCTAGCAAACAGGTATCCAATAATATAGTAACGTACCCTCCCCACCAAATAATTGAAAAAGGTAGCTCCTTAAAACATTTAACAAAGAGCAGGGAAAGCCTGCAGGCATTACATTCACCTTATTTCTACAACTACATTGAATATTATAGAAATCACCTCTCAGGACATATTAGAGGAGGGAAAAAAGGCTGTAAAGATGTATCTGAACAAGGTAATGACAGCTGAACTCTTAGGCAGGAAATTGCTAAATTTTCCTGGAATAGGCAAGCAAAACTAGTACCAATGACATAGGAGGAAGTCTCACAAAGCAGATTATGAAAGTTATATCCTTCAAATAAGTTGACCTTGCATAATTTACGCAGAGGTGTGGAATTAACTTGAAGAAGACTGGAGAGTACATCTCTCATTTCTTTCTTGTTTGGCATAGACTCTAGAGAAAGGCCCATCAAAAAAATCAGGTAATATGAGCTGATCAACCCAAGATAGTTCTGACAAGTTGTTAGCAAGGCCTAGTAAACCCATCTCCGTTTATGTGTGATGACATAATTGGACATCCTATACAACTATCAGAATGTAAAGGCAAAACATTCAAACTTTTTCTTTATTAGCTTTTTTTAAATTATGGAAACCATTTTGCTGATTGATTTTAAGTTTCAAAATATCAAATAAATAAAACATTAGAAATTAATTTCTATATGTGTTGTTTTAAAAACAAAAGGAATAATGATCAAAACCAAATACGCATTATTTTTATAGTGCAGGGATTGTTTTTGGCAGATTAAAGCATACAGCAGACTACCAGGAACTAATTCTAAGTTCCCAGAACATTTGGAACTAGGATAATAGTTCCAAGTTCTCCAGTCTCGGCCAACATCAATGAAGGACAGGTAAAACTGGAAAGAATCTACTGCAGTCTTCCCTAAATTAGTTCCCTCTAGACAAGCTAGACTAGAACAACCATTGCTTTCATGCAATATGGCTGGAGCTGTTTGGAAAAAGAGTCCCAGATATCTGGAGAGAACCAGATCAAGAAAAATCATTTGACTCTTTCACAGATATTATGCTTAAATTATATAAGTATTTCTGGCTTCCACCAACTGCATTTGGAAGTAAAAAATAGACTGTCTGAACTTTACATGGCTTGCAGCCAGCCTAAACATTCAGGAAATGTGAAGGCATAAAAAAACCAGAATAAACTTTCCCTGATTCTTTTAAGACAATTTAGAATTTAGTATGAGTACACAAAAACATCAGGCCTTAAATCTGTTTTATGCATTATGCTAAGACATAGTTTATTTAACTAGTTTGCTGAATATACCCCAACTCCATAAAGTAATCCTAACTATGGTTTTTAAACCACAGTGGCAGGGTTCATAGTCATGCAATATACCAAACCAAAATCAAATAATCCACATTTTTGGCTCACTGTGATGTGTGAGACTAGCCAGCATTTCTCCTCTCTGTTGATGAGGCCTTTACTTTCCCTTATAAGGTCTACTGAGAGGACAGCAACAAAACCATGTCCTCTGGAGCTGAAGGTATCATCTAGGCCAGTAGCTGCCAATCTTTCTGGCACCAGAGACCAGTTTTCTGGAAGACAATTTTTCCATGGGCCAGAGTGGGGGAAAGGTTTCACATGCAATTTAGATCCCACACATGCACAGATAAAGCTTTGCTCACTCACCCGCTGCTTGTGCAGCCCGGTTCCCAACAGGCTGTGGACCGGTATCGGTCTATGATCCAGAGGTTGGGGACCCCTGATCTAGGCCTTCTGGAGTACCCCATCACAACTGGCTGCTACAGGAATGGTGAATTATTAAGAGAGGGTGTGTACTATTTATTTTCCTCCTGTGTCATATATTTTTAGACTGAAAGCCTGAGGGCAGGGATTCACTATTTCTATTCTTATGTAAGCTTTTCTGGGAGTCACCCAGGCTAAACAGCAGCGTATAAATGTTTTCAGCAAATCCACAGCATAGACTGAGCTTGTGCCTGTTTAGAAGATGTCTACTTTCTGAATGTCTGCAACTACAGGCACAAAACAGGAGTGGCAGCCATACACCTTCTTTCATTAGTAAACAAAATATTTAATTAAACCTGAGTGTCCAAGGCTATAGTTTTAATTTGATCCTTTAATTTAATTTCTGGCACTAAATCTTTATCTAGCAGAATGCAATTGCAACATCAGCTGCAGGAATAGGCAGGTGGAGATATGTGTGTCACTTCAGCCAGACGTCTGCTGAAAAGCTTTACCTTGGATCTGGAGTGAGCCCTCGACACGCATACCATGCTTCATAATTGTTCTAGCCTGAGCCTGGCCTTCATCAAGCTCTCCAGGACGTCGGAAGTTGCAGCATTTCACATCCTCAAACACCCGGAACATCTCATACACACGAGCAGTGTAGCCTGCTAGTTCAGTTGCCTGGGGAAGAAAGCCACAACTGCAATTCATTTACAGTACATCTGGAATGGGAATCCACATATCAACTTTTTGCCAGGGTTTGGGGTAGTGGGCATTCACTGATGGTTGTTTTCTCAAATCTGGGTCTGACAGGCCAGAGTAATAAGGTTCAAAGCATTTATCCAGCTCTTACTGTGCTGGAGACATATATGAAATCAAACAGATCGTATTTGCAAATGGTATCCATAAGATACAATCAAACTGACAATTAGGACTGTAGCAATCAAAAGACAAATGGGCGTAACCAGTATCTCCCTGAACCCACAGGGTTTAGCTATTTACTATTAAGGAATAATAAACTATTCAATTACAGCAACTACCTTTCATTTACATTATGTTTCTGTATTTAAAACATTCAATGTATCTCTGACCATCAGCAATTAAACTGAAAAACTTCCTCTTTCCTGAACACCTCAGCTTTTTATTTTTCTTGCTACATTTGTAAGCCAGACCTATACAAAGGCAATTTTGATGTCAGATTCTTCTACGGCTTGGGAGGTATACAATAGAAACCCAATGTACTGATTATGGTTCTAGACTTAAAGTTCAAGTCCAATTCACCTATGCAGCTCACTGATTAGTTTTGGTTAGTCTCTTTCTAAGTCCTCAGCAGTTTTTGTGAAGTGAAATTAAGAAAGACTCTCATGTAAAATAAACCTGAGGAAGAGAGGGATATAAATGCAATCAATCAGTCAATCAAATGCAGCAGGAATGGGATACGGCAGGGGTGTGTATTATAAAATAAGAAGAAATAAGGGCAAGACTGAATGGGTATTGAATGACTATGGACTGAATACAAGTATGAGTGGCCCATATGAAAGAAATATTTTGAAATATATATTTTTTTATATAGATAGAATGAATGAGGACCAAACTGCAAAGCAAATGTATGAGGAAAAATGAATGTGTCAAAAGGGAAAGAGAAGAAAATTATGGTTGGAAGGAGTTTATTGAGAAACCAGTGTTTAAATTTAAAGAAAAAAAAAGACAATGTAGAAAGCAGCGTATGGACATTATGGAGGGAAGGAAGAATGATTTGCAAGGATAAAAGATACAGAGTTTATAAAGCCCAATGATTGAGTTGTACAACATGCTAGCCAAATTAAAGATGCCATATTATTTTGACTGTGATATAGGAAACCAGACTTGCTGTCTGTATATAGACTATATAAGACATATATAGAAAGATATTTTGAAACTCATATAAATTAATTTTAAAAGTAACTGAAGATCCTCCAGACCAGTAGTTCTCAACCTGTGGGTCGGGACCCATTTGGGGTCGAACGACCATTTCAAGGGGGTCACCAAACAATGCAGTCCACCATTTTTTCCCCCTTTTCCTTAGTTGTGCTACTCCCTTTTATTCTATTGGCTTTTGAAAGCCAATAGAATAGACTCTTTTGAGTAGAGTCTAATTCTATTGGCTTTCAAAAGCCAATAGGAATTGTCCAGGCTGTCTCTGCCCTGCTGAGCCCGCCAAAAGTCCCATATTGCAAACGGTGCTGCAAGTTGTCTGCAGCGAAGGCGAGCTGTCTGGAAGTTTCCACCCCTCCCTGCTGAGCAACTACTAAAAATGTAAGTAAAAGAGGGCCAGGGGTGGGAGGTGGGAGGCCAGCAGGCACAGGGAGGGTTGCTGCCGTGCGTGGGGCCCGGCGGATGCCTTACCTCCCTTGGGCTGGGCCAGCTGGTGGCCCAGCCGGTGGTCGGCCTGCGCCATCTCTGCTGCTTACCAGCTACGCCTCAGCTGGTGCAGGGGGCGGCACCACGCATGCGCGATGCTCCCGGGCAGGGAAAGTCCTCGACTTACAACCGGTTGGGTAGTCCTCGACTTACGACCGGTTGGGGTCGCGGCATTAAAAAGGTTGAGAACCACTGCTCCAGACTGACCTGTACAGCTGTGGTAGGGAAGGGGTCTTGAAGAAGATTATTATTAAATTTTTATCCTGCCTTTTAGAATATGTTTTGATCAAGGCAGTGAATATATTTAATATTCCCGCCTCCTATTTTCTTCACAATGATTCTGTGAAGTGGATTGGGCTCAGAAAGAGTGCCTGGCCCAAAGCTATGCAACCAACTTTCATGGGTAAGAGAGACCTAGAATATACAGTCTCCTGGTTTCTAGGCCAGCATCTTCACCACTCTCATATTCATCTGTGAAATTAAATTTCTTTTACAAGACAAGAATGATCACATCACAGTTATTTTGAAAGGAGGTAAAGTTGGGATTACATCAATAGGATTGGTGAAGCCTGAGAGGTGGCTTGAGTCTCTACATAACACTAAGCCACAATGGTGTGTATAGGCTTTGGTAATAGCATAATGTATAAACATAGCCAAAGTTGGCCTGGTTATTAGATCTGGGCTGAACATCCAGATGACCACTAGATGGTGGCAAAGAATGTCACCTAATGACCATCTAGATCTTTGCAACCTGATCTGATAGCCATAGAGAAGTAAGAAAGATCTCCCCGGATCCTGTGAATGTCTCCTCAGAAATGATTACTGTATGAATACTAGTTAAATGGGACTTATTCTGAAGAGAGGAACATAAATGATGGTACGATTCAGTGTGTCTGTCTAGGTCAGCCATGCTGGCTCAGGAATTCTGGGAGTTGAAGTCCACAGTCATAAAAGAGCCAAGGTTGCCTACCCCTGGTCTAGGTGGTAAGAGATGAAAACTAATCTTATGAAATATTAGCAGTGCAAGGTCAAAGCTCATAGGTATGGCTCTTGGAAACTACTAAAAATTCCCATTTTAAGGATATTAAGAAGCAAGTAATAGCTGATACAAGGTCTTTCTGCTCTCAGAACTTGCAGGACTGAAGCCCTGCCTGAATGCAGGTTACAGAGTATGTGCCTTTTAGAATTATACCTCAGGAGATTATAAAGACATAGAGGCTTATTTACATCCTTCATGGGAGGATCAGACTGACCCAATTCTTCCCCAGGCAACTGAGCATCTGTACCTCTTTGTAGGAAGAGATGACCCTCTCTGTAGCATCGGCTGCTGCAGACAAAAGATTCCGAGCTGTGGTAAAAGCCTCAGTCCTCAAGCTTATCCATTCTTTCTCTTCCATTTCCACTGCAGCTTGTTTCACTGCCTCTGAATCTGGTGGAACAAAATTGTGACAGGGAGGAAAGGCTGGAACACATATCTCCATTTCTCCACTCACTTCTACTGCCTAGAATCCCATTTTCTCATTAGGAATCACTTTCCTTGAAACCCTGATCTGAGGTTGCTTATTCCTGCTGCAGTCTGGCACCTGTTGAAAATACCAGCATGAGAACCCTCCTGTGATGAGGGCCAGAAAAAAAAAAAAAAAAAGGCATCCCTCCATGAAACTATTAAACAAATAATACTCCAAATATTGCCTTAAAATGTTCTGTGATAACGCTTCATGAGGAAGACACCTATTCATTCTTTAGGTTTCCCTTAATCTTCCAAAGATCTGTGGCATTAGATTTGAACTCTGAAATGTGAAGGAAGACTTTACATAGTTTAATCATCTTCCTGACATGTATTTGGGACAACTAGTAGGTGAAAAAATTATAACATGAAGAAAGTTATACTGGTAGTCCTTGACTTAAGCCAGGTCACCTAGTGACTGTTCAAAGTTATGACAGACCCCCTCTAAAACCTACTTATGACCCAGTCTTGAAGTTATGTCCACTGCAGGTGGCCGCTGGTGGGATTGTGCTATGTGGCCCGGGAATGGTGTGGCCTATACTCTTTACTTACTCAGATCTCCTGAGCTCTGGAGATCATTGAAAGGTAAGTGAACGATAGGTGACAGGATGTGGAGACCCCAAGGTGGGGGAAGTGGAGCATGGGGTCTCTCAGAAGGTGGGGGGAGGCCTTGGAAGGTCTGAGGCAAGTGGACTTGTGCCTGCACCCAGCTCTTCAGGTTCTCCCCAATCCCTGAGGCTCTCCATGCTCCACTTAACAACCTGTTTGTTTAAAACATGTTCATTTAACAAATGCATCGGGAAGAGCAGTGATGAAGGGGGTCGTTAAGTGAGGCAGTTCACTTAACGGCCCTCCTGACGCCAACCCTAATGGGCATGCTCCATTTCAGCTCTAATTCAAGGACTACCTGTACACTGTCTCCATGAAGAGGTAATTGTATTTATACAAACTGCTAGAGGGAACCATCAACAGGGGAAGAATGAGTGATTTTAGGCTTTTAATGGGAAACCATGATATTTGGGAATTAGTGGAGAACCAGCTGATGGGGGGAGAGCTCGATTCCCTGCCCTCAACAGTCATTCCTGTTTTTCCCTTCAGGGCTCAACCTGCTTTTGCTCTCAGGTGTTGCACAACAAAACCCCTGGCTGTTGCAGTTCTCTCCTATCTGTTCAGTTTTCTAGCAATAGCAATAGAACTTAAGACTTATATACCGCTTCACAGCCCTTTCTGAGCGGTTTACAGAGTCAGCATATTCCCCCCAACAATCTGGGTCCTCATTTTACCGACCTCGGAAGGATGGAAGGCTGAGTCAACCTTGAGCCTGGTGAGAATCAAACTCCTGGAGCGAGCAGTGAGTTAGTCTGCAGTACGGCTCTTGTACTACCATGAGTGCATCTTTCTGTGCTTGGTTGCATTTTCCTGCGACTATTTCTATACTAGTGATTCTAGACATCTGGATTGGAAGGGGAAAGCGTGAACTGGAGTTTGTGTGTAAGTGCACATAGCAATTCCTTTAAACAAGTATGTCTTTACTTGGGATCATGCAGCTATTGCCCTGCGATCATAGAAAAAAAAAAAGCATGTTAGCTTTAAGGAAGTACTGACACGATGCTACATAGATGCTTGTGCCCACTATCAATCTATATCTCTATATCTCAACATCACCCAGTCACCCTCATCATGATATACAGACAGAAGAATGGTTGGGTAACACTATTAATCACTAGTGTGGAAATGGCCTGTATGAGATGTGTAGACATGAGCCAGTCAGAAGGTGCCCTGGGCTATTCTGCCCTCACTAAGCCTTCCAGTGAGTTAGCAATTAGTGTTTCAGCCATCATCCTTAATGATTATCCTTAATGATTCCATATTGATCCTCTACCACAAACATGTCAAATACAAGGCCCGTGGGCCAGAAGCGGCCCGTGAAGAGGTTTCATGTGGCCTGCGAAGCCATCCTGGAAACAGTGAGGGAACGGCCCCGCTGCCTTGGTCCTGGCCCAGGCCAGCCAGGAGCCAATGTACAATTTTGTGGTGGTCATCTATGCTGAAACGCATTCAGTCTTATCTCCACAAGGCCGTCTGGAAACAACGAGGAACCAGCCCCTGCCGCATCGGCCCCACCCCCTGGGTGCATGCTGGGGAGGTGTCACCCTTTGTGAGGAATGAAGAAATGCACCATCACCTGGAAGTGGCCATCAAATGGCCCTCACCTACTTCACATATTCAGCTTGATGGGCTCCGGGGGAGGGGTTTCAGTAGGCAGCAGGGCGCTCTCCTCACAGCGCCAAGAGGCTGAGCTGGGTGGTACGAATCGGATGAGAAGTGCAATGCTGCCTAGCCCCCAGCCTGCCCAGTTTCAGCAGGCAGCAAGGTGCAAAACTGACGAGCTTCGCACCGCATGGCTCAACCTCTCGGCGCTGTGAGGAGAGCGCCCCGCTGCCTGCCGAAACAGGGCAGGCTGTGGGCTGGGTGGCATCGTGCTTCTTTTTGGATTTGCACCGCCCGGTTCAGCCTCTTGGCGCTGTGAGGAAAGTGCCCAGCTGCCTGCCAAAACCAGGCAGGCTGGGGGCTGGGCGACATCGCACTTCTTTTCAGATTCGCACCGCCTGGCTTAGCCTCTCAGTGCTGTGAGGAGAGCACCTCGCTGCCTGCCGAGGCTGGGGGCTGGGCGGCATCATGTTTCTTTTCAGATTCACGCCACTTGGCTCAGCCTCTCGGGCGCTGTGAGGAGAGCGCCTCACTGCCTGCTGAGACCAGGCAGGGTGGGGGCGTCGTGCAGGTAATGTTGACTCTCGCGCTGCTCATGGCATCCCCTTCCCCAGAGCCCTCCAAGCCTTAGTCCTGCCCTGCTGCCCTTTTACCATCCCCTTTCTCTCTCCTCCTGGCCTATCCTGGGGGTGTCCCATCCTATTGCTAAGGAAGCTTTGGATACAAAGCCGGGTCTCCTCCCATGGAGAGGGAATGGGCCTCCCTCTGACTTTGCCCTCGTACCCATCATGAGCAACCTGGCTAAGGAGAGCAAGCACAGCAGCAGCAGCCTTGACGAGGAGATAAGTGCAGCTAGGCGCCCCCTTGGGGAAGTGGGGCTGGGCTTGGTGCTGCAGGTGCTTGAGGGCCAGGCTGGGAGTTTGACCTCTGCTGCCCAGGGCTCCGGGCAGCCCGCACCACCATCCAGCCCCCCCCCCCGCATGGCCTGAGAGGAACAGTGAGGCTCTTCCAGTGGACCATGCCTTGGCACTTGCCCTGGTCGCACCCCCTTCTGCCAGAGACCTCAGATCTGTCCCACCCCTGTCCAGGTCCCCACAGGCACCCTTGACGCGAATGATGTAGAGCTGACCACGCCCACCCAGTAGGCCACACCCACTCCATCCATGCCCACCCAGTAGGCCGCACCCACCCTGGCCACACACCTCAAGGGAAACCGCAATGCTGATATGGCCCTCAATGAAATTGAGTTTGACACCCCTGCTCTACCAGCTCCTGCTTGTTAACGTATGATCTTAAATGCCCATTTTATTATTTTGAGCCATGTTGCTCCCAGGAGAGCAGCAGTTTTTGCTTTCTTCTCCCATCCTCACCTGTCTCGGAGTAACCAGTAGCAGTGATGATTGGTACAGCCACCATGACCAGCCCAGCAGCACTCCACACATACTTCATAAGGAACTGTTCCAGCATCACATACCAGAGTCTCTCCAGAAGCAGCACATTGATTTGAGAGGCCAGCTGATGATAACAATGCCTCAGAAGGGACAGCTCCACCTGAAAAGAGTAGCAGGAAGAAACAAAGTGACTTGAGGTTTAGAACCCCAAAGATAGGCATCTCCATGTTTTATTTCAACAATGTAAATGCACCAAAGAATCTCCTGGGCATGTAGACAAATGGATGTGTTCCCAGATCAGAGAGAGGAATAAAAACCAAATGAATTAGACAATTAGATCGAGGGAGACACCTGTTCTTAAAGGCTGGGTTCACAAAATATAGTTTATTGAATAAACCAAGATGAAAAATACCATGAGTTAGTATAATATGCAAATTAGTTTGCGGGACAAATAAACCTAAAACTCAGAGAACTCCAGATAAAGAATTTAGTTTTGTTATTATTTCTACAAATATGAGAAATGACACCCAAATTATTTCCCCCACTAGTCAGTGCTTTCTGCAGCATATTTATATACAAGAGTTCACTCAGCCGGCTTTTATGCCTAAAGTGGAACTAGAACTCATAAACTGCAGGTGCCTTAATAGACCATGTAAACAGAAGAAAATGAAACTGAACGATTCTAGACTTTAGTTGCTCTACAGCAAAATTCTAAAAATCTCTACTTGCAAATGAGTTCAGTGGAACTTTCCCCATCCCAATTTTAGTTAAGAATTTAAGATTGCAGCCTTTTTGTCCATGTTTATACATTTTCTTATCATCTCTAATTCATATATATATGTTCTTATCTAATATTTATCTTCACTCAGCTGTCCTACACCTTTTTCATACAGGCTTTATTAATCTCTCAATGGCACAAAGCATATCTATCACACTTTGGATCAGAATTCCCTGAATCCTAATGCAGTTTAATCTACATTTCCTGATCCACATCAAACATAGCATAAATGAATAATTAGGTTAGTTCTGTGATGTATGTATACTGTACATGCACTCTGAATGTCCATCTACTGTAGCTTTTATATGCAAACAGGTAATACAAACTGCAGATTAACTGATTAGTTAGTACAAAATTACTAGCTATGGAATAAATACATTATGTCTAATGCTAGTTATGGGATATTATTGATCCTCTTATTAAAAAAGCAACTGTTGCATTTTGATCCTTTTTTAAAAAAAAATCAGTGAACCTTGAAAGAGGAAGGAAATATTTGTTCCTATTTGCTTGTGATTTTTGTGTAAATATGACCTTAATTTACTCTTAATTTTGGAAAGAAGTTACCACAGGGAGAGATGTTGGGCCTTGGAACACATTTTGCACAGCAGCATTAGCACTAAAGAATGGGGAAAAGTAAAAATATGTGAAAGGTATGACTATTAGTATCACATTCTTTTTCCCAGTGTTAAAACATTCTTTCTTTCTCCATTCTTTATCAACAGGAGTTTTGATTTATACCTATGTTCCTTACTGGTATTTCTCATTCTATATTTGGGAATCAGAAATTCCACATACCATACACATTTACTGCCTTTCAGTTCACTCCTCTGCCTGGCAATGCAGGAAACATTAGAAGACAAACTGGTGCCAAACGTAGAAAGCCTTGGGGCTACCTCAACTGTTTGAATTAGGTAGGATAAACAGAAACCAAGAAAGATTTTTGCAGGATGTTGGAAAGGTAGCAACAAGGACAGATTATAATCAAGGTTAGAGCCCTAGATGTGCCTCAGGACAAATTCAAGGAAACAACAAAGGAAGGAAGTAAACAAGGGTGCTGGTCTAAATGGTCTTGGGACAGCTTCATTTTGCCTAAGGCAGAATTGAAATTGAGTTAGCTGCTGAGCTTTTGGTGTAATTCTACAGGAGAAGATGGTAAATTACTAACACAGAGAATAAAAAAGTATCTTCTCTTTACTTTTCTAATTAGACTATATTATTATTCCTCATTCAGAACTAGAGAAGTCCAAATAGCCTACAGACTTCCTCTTTCCAAAAACTAAAACTTGTTTTTCTACTAAAAATATTGTCATTCTGCCTACTTTACCTTATGCCCCCCATAGAAGGCAATCTCTTCCGAATTGGCCACCACACGGGAATGCATGTAGCGCAGCTCTCCTTTCCGGCGCGCTTCCTCAGCCACCAGCTGGCCAAATTTTGGTGACCAGGCACGTAGCACCTTGGCAGTGGTGCAAGCTACCAAACCAGCAATAACTGAGGGCCAAACTGTATCAGCCCCCTTTGATCTAGCTGAACTGATGAGGGTATAGGAAGTCACAATGAGATCAAGGACAGGCTTGGTCAAGTTTGAGTAGAGATGGGCCACAGAATTAGCAAAGGCCACCAAATCTTCTGTGAGTGACTGGTCCGGGTTACGCAACCGTCCATCCATGTTGCTGACCCGGTAATAGGTCTGACCCTCAAAGTAGAGCTGATAGGCATGGTCCACTAAGCGTCCACGGAAGGCCAGGCTCAGTTGCCCTTCCAGGTACCGAATGGCACTGTTGACAAAGGTGGCTGGCAGGGCAATGAGGAGCCACTGAAGAAGCTGCCACGTAAAGTCCTGTGGGTTCTTACGGACAATGCAGCGGGCCAACCGTCCATCCAGCTGGGCCACATAAACTGAGAGGAAGGTGCGGCTAGCCAGGGCAGCTGAATGCAAGGCCAAGAGTCCTGTCTGCCGGCACAGTGGTCCAGGGAACAACAACCTCAGGAGACGGAGGAGACGGAGAAAAAACACCTTGTTCACACCAGGCGGTGATGTGGTGCCCTCCTCGAGTTCCTTCCACCTTGCTGTTGGCTCTCTGGGACTGGTGGTCTCTGAATTCATCTGGAGGACCGAGGCAGCCCACTGTCTTCGTAGGATGGGGTATAACTTCCTGGCCCCATATGCCGCCACCAGCAGTGCCAGCGCTGCTCTTTTGGCGGTGATTCCTTGGCTCAGCCGTGTGGCCACTTTGGCCGTGGTGAAGGGCATAATCACCCTGGGGTGGAGGCACTACCTCCGCTTCGGCTTCTGCTCTTCTTCTTCCAGCAAGAAGCCAGCGTTCTCTGACTAACTATAGCCGGGGCTGACTCGCTTAGCCGGAGTCGGCTCTCAATCCACAACGCCCAACCTTCGGAGTGACAAGAGGGGAGGGGACTGGAGAACGGCCATTCCCTCAGACCATAGAGAGGACGAGATAGGGAGGGCGTTTCTATAGGTGGCCGGTAGAGGGCGAGGACGGTTGCTTCTTGGTTCTGAGAAAAACAAAAACGCGAAGTTTCGAAAACAGTCCCGTGACGTGACGTGACCCTGTCCTTGCTGTTCCTCTTCAGTCCGCTTCTCCAAAGCTTTGGATCTAAATGGGTCATATCTTCAAACAAATAAAGGTGCTCTAGTAGTTTTGCAAATGAATATGTTTGCTTTGGCATTGCTAGGAATCATCCATTATACCGCAAGGGTTGGAATCGGGGTCCCCCCCCAATAATAAACTGAAATGGAGAACCACGTTATCAGATGACTGTAGTTGTAATACCATATCAATGATTTTCATTGGGTCAAGTATATTAGTGATCATTTGTATGTAACGCGTCTGTGAATAAAGACAATTACTTGCGGGAATCGATCGCTCGATCACGTGCCAGTATATCGCGTTAGAGAAACAGCCTGCTAATTGAGATACGGTAATGCTAGTTGTCTCCAGTCTCTCTCTACTGCTATTCTGCAAGATTGGAGAAATGCAGATACTATATCGAGCCCATGTAGAGCTAACAGAAGACAGACACTTGTTGTCCCTAGACCGAGGCTCAAATATTGTCTCAACAACCACACAGAAGGTGTGACTGCATCAGAGTTACAAGAAGGGACACTAAAAGGAAACTTGTGTGGGAGGATTGGGTTTTTTTGTTAATTGTATGCTGGTGGCTGACTCAATTATTTGGAAGATGCAACTATCCAAAAGCTTTAGGAATAATTAATCTAAATGAATTACAGAGTACAAAACATATTTAAAGAGACTAAAAATGGAATCTACTCTCTGTCATCACTGTGGAATCTGAAGAACAAAAAGCAGCCCAGAAAAACTCATATATGAGCAGCACTGCTCTGAAGCCATCTCATTACAAAGTCCAGGAGAAAAATCTATTATTTCAAAGTATGTGGTGACTCCTGATACTGTATTTTGATATATCATTTCCAACACAACTGCTGATGTTTTTTTGGCTCCAAAAACAGGATTTCATAACTGAATATATTTCATCAAACAGTTTATCGATACTTAGTAGGCTTTTATACATAATCTTATATAACCAATAGCCAGAGGGCAAAATAGTTGTTTTGAAGCAAGACTCACCAATAGTGATGAAATACATTATGCATAGTATGTTTAGGGGTGTGTCATGTATTTCACTTTGAGAGCGGGCAACTAAATTTCATTTTTGAAGTGTGCCGTTGTGCCCACAGTAAAAAAAATGACAATAAAGATTATCTTATCTTACTTTACCTTACCTTATCTCCAATTTGCCAAGAAATATCACAGGCTGATTAATATTTTATCCATTAATACATACATGTTTTTTCCAGGTGTGTTTCTAAACAGTGATATGCCAAGCTTGGTTACCCTGATACTATTTGATACAGCACCTTCTAAAAGGTAAGTGATTGTGTAGTCTGTGGCAACTGTGAGTTTCTGAAAGCATCTGCTGCCCTCAAGCTGCAGCTCCTAGAGCTGTTTTTACTTGTTAGATTTATAATCCAGCTTTCTTGCAAGAACCCAAGGCAGTGTATGTAAAGTTATTTTTTACACCCTATAGAAATAACCCTGCAAGGTAGGGCAGGCTGAGAGAGAATATCAGACCCCAAAACACCCAGTGGCTGAGGGTGAACTACAACTGGTCTTCCTGGTTCTAATCTGATATCATGAACACTACGTGGACTTTCAGGAGGCAGTTTCCAAATGTATGCCTAAAATTGGTTGCTATGTCAAGGGAGGAAAGAGGGCAGAGCATGAGGCACTACTGTCCATGTATTATACACTAGACACAGAAGTGCCCATCTCTTCACAAAGAAACTTATAGTTCCTATTAGGATCTTCAATCTGTGACTTGGCTTCTACATTTTACCCCACTCTCCCATTGAAGAAAACATTGTAAATCTGTTTCTGTTCCTTATGTTGAGTGCTGCCATCTGCTGCAAACAGGAACCTGAAGTCTTTCACTGAGGTTCACTCTACAAATCTGGCCTCTATGTCAGCATTCTACTGGTAAATACATTATTAATTAGAGCTGCACAATTTAACTTCCTGTGCCAATTTGAAAGGGGCCACTGTAATTGCTTCTCAAAAAGGAAAACCCTTTTGGTTATTAAAAGAATAGCATCTGTTTAACACTGGAAACACTTGTAAAGATCATACTGAGACCTCAAAGCATAATTAAATAATCCCACCCCACCCATCCGTATTATGGAAATACAGACACGCAAGGTATTATTGCCCTATATGAATAATATGCCATTGTATTCCACTTTATCCCTTTAAAGAGCCAAACGGGCCTTTGGTTCTGAACAGGAGGGCAGGAATCAGAGATAGTGGAAGAAACATACTGCTGTATAATAAATATTTTCTAATTTACTTCCTATTCAGCTTGCATACTGTCCTACGTGTCACGAGTGCAACAGAAGAAACAGTTCGTGTCAAATTTGGTGGTTTTCTAGCGGTTAAGAGAAAAAATGCAGAAGTTCAGAACGTCAACTAAAACGAAGTATGGCTTTTGCTCCACACCTTGCGCTGCAAAAGCCATGAAGCAAAACCAGGCTTTTACACTCTTAACTCCACTCTGATATGTATGAGAACGGAGACGCTCAGGTGCATCGTTGTTCCATTCAGCTACAGCCGAACGCTGCTTTTGAATTGGCAATTGTACCAGTCATTTCTCCAAAAGCACTTTTAAGCCCAATGTATCTAAGAAAGGAAACGGGAGCAACGGATGAAAGGAAAGAAAGGAGGACCCTAAACAATCAACGAAATAGTGAGAGAATGAAAAGGATAGTTTTATCTGGAAAAGGAAAACAGGGAATCCGCTCAGCCTTTTTAGGAAAAACAAGAGCAAAGGAAGCCCCCCTCCCCGCCATCAGAGCCTCGCACGCGTGCAATTCCTCTAAACCCCGAGAGGCGGGACTATTAGCCATCCTCTCTAGGTATCATGGGAGCTGTAGTCCAATGCATTTGCAGCCCAGCTACTTCCTTTACATTTCCCACCACGGCGGTGCGTCCTATGAAGCTTCCCCTCCCCTGATTTTTAATAGCCACGTCGAAAACTGCGACGGAGCCACGCCTCTGACCCTGACGGAGCAAACCTCGGCCTTTACCTTCCCCCGCCTCTATTTAGAAAACTTGTTCGCGATTGGGCGGAGGGCGCATTCAGACCACGCCCGATTAAGGGGGGCGGGGCTTCGAGAGTTCTCTATTTCTGCGTGCGGCCGAACCTTCAGCAGGCGGGTGCTGGTTTTGGGGCTTGTTTGGTACGTATCGGGGTTCCTCCCGCCGAGCGGGGGAGGGGACGGGCCAGCGACGCTGGTCATTCGGGAAGAAAGCAAAATCCTGTTAAAAAGAAGGCGTTCCCGCCTTGAAATTGGTTCTAGTGCCTTTCTTCCACAAGGCGCATTGGCCCCTGCATTTAGAAAGAATGGGGGGGGAGTGGAAAGCCTCTCCTGCAAGGAGTGGGCGAAGCACCTTTGCTTTTTAATCCCCACATTTCTGTGGCGTCTTCCCATAATACACCAGAACGTAATTCGGTTTTACCTGTAGTCTGCTTTCTTCATGTCCTAGAAGCAGCCTATCTTCCCCCCCCCTCTTTCCCGAGTGCAAATTCTAGGATTTGCGGGGGGGGCGGACGGGCAGGACCAATATTGTAAGGGGCCATTAATATGGAGGAGGCTGCGCGAACGGGGATGGGGTTATCCGAGCGGGAGGGAGATACACTGAGGAGGCCCTATAGAGCCCGAGCGGGTGCGTATTTGCGAAAGAGTGTGTAACAGGCGTGGGCCTGTTCTGCAGCGTTACAGTCTCCAAAGGAATTGCAAAAGTGGTGGTAGTCTGACTTGTTCTCCTGGCTGTCAGTCATGGGGCTCTTGAGAAAGCGAATTCATCCCTGGCATAATGTTAAAAAAATCTTAGGGAATTGAATTAAATAGGTATTTGATATGCCAATGCATGAGGTTTGCATATAGCTTTCCTCACTTTATTTGGAAAGTTTTTTTGGGGGGGGCAGCACATAACTTTAATATGAGTTTGCTTCCAATCTCTGGGGGTGTGAGAAGTGTATTTTATCTTGTCATCTTGTCTCTATGGTCTTCGAAATAGTTTTTCTAAGAAACCAATTAAAAATATTACTCATGTTTTCCTTAAAGTAAGTGGGCAGTAGAGAGAAAGGACAGCAGGCCTCCCTCACCTGGAATAAATGCCGATTTAAATTTCTTCCTTTATTTTGTTGATACACCAAATGTTTAAGTGGAATTGTGCAGGTGTTGCAATGCTTCAGCTGCCCCTGGCAGTCATGTGCTCTTTAATCTCCCTTTCTGCTTGCTCAATTTGCAAAACTATTGGAGACTGCATAACTTAGTACGATACTTGAAAGGTTTTTTTAGTTTTATGCACATGCTCTTTTAAGTTAAGAGCTGCAATGCAAAGGAGGTGTGGCTTGGAAGACCTAAGGAATGAAATCTTAAGCATCATTATCCATGTTGTCCCAAGTCCTATCCCCAAATTTCAAAAAGCCCAAACACTCTGGTCTTATTTACTTGGGGTGGCATGAGGATCAGAAAATGGATGCTGGTGAGCTTGTTGCATTCATGCTCTATAGTAAATATAGGAGAATTGCCATTCAGCTGAGTTCTACAACCCAGTTTAAATATATGCCTGCAAACACAGACATACAGATGTAATCCTTGACTTATGATTGCAGTTGGACCAGATTTCGGGTCCTAAGTCATTCTGGTCGTAAGACACCCACATGACCAGAATCAATTTTAACAACATTTTTACAATAATTGTTAGGCAAGTCACTGCCGTAATTAAGCAAATACATGGTCATAAGTGCAAAACCCATTCCTTCAAATGGGTGTTTTTTTACCAGGCAACAGCAAAAACTGCTGCAAATCATGGTCACAAGGCTGTGGGATGCTGCA